AAAATTCCAAAACTGAAACGTCGAAAAATTGGGAAATCCGAAAATCTAAAAATCGAAAAACCGAAGACTGAAATACTGAAAAATCTAAAAACTGAAAAATCGAATAATTCAAACATCAAAAAATCGAAACATGAAAAGGCAGAGAAGTCGCAGAATCGAAATAGCCCAAACGAAAAATTAAAAACTGAAAAATTTTAAATAAAAAAAAATCTACAATCGAAAAATTCAAAAACCCAAAAATCGGAAAATTGAACAATCGAAAAATCGAAACATAGAAATCTCGACAAATCAAGAAATCGAAAAATCGAATCACTGAAAAATTTAAAACTGGGAAACCGAAAAGACTAAATATCGAGAAATTTAAAAATTCGAAAAATGAAAAACTGAAAAATCGAAATATTTAAAATTTAAAAAATCGGGAAATTGAAAAATCGATCTAAAAAATCGAAAATTTTAACAATCGAATTATTCAAAAATCACAAAACTAAAAATCGAAAAATTGATAAACCGATGAATCGAAGAATCGAAAAACTGAAGAACTGAAGAATGCCAAAGATCAGGAGATCGGAATGTCAAAAAGCTGAAAATTTTTTAAGATCGAAAAATCGAAAAATTTAAAAATCGTTAAACGGAAATATTGGAAAATTGAGAAATCAAAAAATAAAAAATCGAGAAATCCAAAATTAAAAAAAAGTGAAGTCGAAGAATTGAAAAACTAAAAAATTCTAAAATTCAAGAATCGAAAAATGAAAAGACGAGAAATTGAAAATCGAAATTCGCAATACTAAAACAAAGGGAATTCGAAAAATAAAAAAAAATGAGAAATCGAAAACTTGAAAAATCGAGAAATTGAAAACTCAAAATAAAAAATTTAAGAATTGAAAAATCGAGAAATCTAGAAATCGAAACATCGAAAAGTCGAGAAATCAAAAAATGGGAGAATAAAAAAATCGAAAAGTTGAAAAATCTAGAAATCGAAAACTGAGAAACGCCAACATTGAAAATTTGAAAAAGACAAAATTAAAAAAATATCGGAAAATCGAGAAATCGAAAAAAAAATGAGAAAACGAAAATTTGAAAAATTGGTAAAATGAAAAATTTAAAAATCGAGGTACTAATAACCCAAAAAATGAAGACTCCAAAAATCTAAAAATCCAAAAATTGAAAACTGTAAAAATCGAAAAATCGGAAAACTTGAAGTTTTAAAAAATTTAAAAATTGGAAAATCTAAATATCAAAAAATCGTAAAATCTAAAAACGTAAAATTTAATATATCGAAATGTTAAAAAAAAAACAATTAACTGAAACATCAAAAAATCGATAAACTCAAAAAACGAGAAATTGAGAAATCAAAAAATTTAAAATTTATAAAGTCTCAATTGAAAAATTGAAAAATTGAAGAATCGAATAATTGGAAAATTCCAAAACTGAAATGTCGAAAAACTGAAAAATCGAAACATAGAAAAATTGGAAAATCTAAAAATCTAAAAATCGGAAAACCGAAAATTGAAAAACCCAGAAATCGAAAAATTGAAGAATCGAATAATTGAAAAATTGAAACATCAAAAAATCGACACATGAAAAAATAGAGAAGTCTCGAAATGGAAATAGACCAAACGAAAAATTAAAAATTGAAAAATTTTAAATTAAAAAATCTATAAATCGAAAAATTCAAAAATTGAACAATCGAAAAATGAAAATTAACTGAATAATCGAAAATCGAGAAATCAAAAAATCTAAAATTTAAAAAATCCAAAAAATGAAAATCGTGAAATCTAGAAATCGGAACATCGAAAGGTCGAGAAATTGAAAAGTCAAAAAATCGATTACGAAAATTTGAAAAATCGGCAAATCGAAAACTGTGAACCGCCAAACATTGAAAATTTGAATAAGACAAAAATAAAAAAAATCGAAAAATTGAAGAATCGTTATACTAAAATATCGGAACATTGAGAAATCGAAAAAGATGAGAATTCGAAAATTTGAAAAATCGAGAAATTGAAAAATCAAAATAAAAAATCGAAAAATTTCAGAATCAAAAACTGGAAAAATCGCAATACTAAAATATCGGAAAATCGAGAAATCGAAAAAAAAATGAGAATTGAGAAATTGAAAAATTTGAAAAATCGAGAAACTGAACAATCCCAAAATTGAAACATCGAAACAATTGAGAAATCGATAGTTGAAAACTCTAAAAATCGAAAAATCGAAAAATTTGAAATATTAAAAATTTTAAAAATTGGAAAATCGAAATATCAAAAAATCGTAAAACCTAAAAATGTAAAATTTAAGATATCGAAATATTAAAAAATCAATAAACTGAAAAATCAAAAAAACGAGAAATCCAGAAATCTAAAATTTATAGTCTCAATTGGAAAAAAAAAGATTCCAAAACTGGAATGTCGAAAAATTGAAAAACACTAAAAATTTAAAACCAAGAAGTCGAAAAATCAAAATATCAAGAAATCGAAACATCAAAAAAATTGAAAAATCAAAAATCTAAAAATTCGAAAAATGAAAATTAAGTGAAAAATCAAAAATCGAGAAATCGAAAAATCTAAAATTTAAAAAAATCAAAAAAATTAAAATGGCGAAAAAAGTCGAGAAATCGAAACATCAAAAATTCGAACAATTGATGAATTGAAAAATCCTAAAATCGAAAAGGTAAAAAATCAAGAAACTGAAAAATTGAAATGTCAAAAAATCACAGTACTAAAAAATCGAAAAATTGATAAACCAATGAATCGAAAAATCGAAAAACTGAAAAATTGAAGAATGACAAAAAGGAAAGATCAGGAAATCGGAATGTCGAAAAACTGAAAATTTTAAAGACCGAAAAATCTAAAAAATCGTGAAAAGGAAATATTGGAATAATTAAGTAATCAAAAAATAAAAAAACGAGAAATCGAAAAATTTTAAATTTACAAATACTCAATTGAAGAATTGAATAATTGAAAAATAGATAAATTGAAAAATTCCAAAACTGTTTGTCGAAAAAGTGAGAAATCGGAACAACGAAAAATTGGAAAATTCAAAAATCTAAAAATCGAAAACCCGAAAATTGAAAAACCGAGAAATTGAAAAATTGAAAAATCGAATAATTGCATCGAAATATGAAAAGATAGAGAAGTTGCGAAATGGAAATATGTAGCCCAAATGAAAAATTAAAAACTCAAAAATTTAAAATAAAAAAATCTATAAATCGAAAAATTGGCAATCGAAAAATTGAAACACCAAAAAATTTAAAACGAAAAGTCGAAAAATCGAAATTTCGAGAAATCAAAACATCAAAAAAATTGAAAAGTCTAAAAATATTGGTATAAAGAAAATTAACTAAAAAATCGAAAAATCAAAAATTCTAAAAACCCAAAAAATTAAAGACCTGAAAAATTGAAAAATCGAGAACTCGAAACATCAAAAAGTCGAAAAATTGAAAAATCCTAACACCGAAAAGGCAAAAAATCGAGAAATTGAAAAATCGAAACAAAAAATCAAAAAAAATTAAGAATCGAAACGTTAAAAAATCACAAAACTAGAAAAACCAAACATTGATAAACCAATGAATCGAAAAATTGAAAAACTAAATCTTAGAAAATTGAGAAATCAAAAAATAAAAAATCGAGAAATCGAAAATTAAAAAAAACTTAAAATCGAAGAATGGGAGAACTAAAAACTCCTAAAATTGAAGTATTGAAAAATGAAAAGAGGAGAAATTGAAAGTCGAGAATTTTTTGTGAAAAAAAGTTCATATTTAAAAATTCACGGTTCCGCAATTTTTAAAGATGGAGGCTTCGAATTTTGCACCAAACTTTTTAGCCGTCTTAATAATAATAATAATAAATTTTATTGACTAACAGAACAAAGTTCCAAAATAGACAATAGTTTTAAAAAAACAAAATATGAAATAAGATGTCCTTATAACTACAAACGTCTTAAATAATTGTTAAACATATGTTGCGAGCAACTGAAGATATCTATATCTACTAAGTTATTAACCGCCAATCCTATTCTATTTACTACAGAAGTGTTGTAACCTAGATTTGTTCTTTTAATCGAACAAAAGATTGTGTCCTGGTTCCTAGTATGTACCAAAGGTACTCTAAAATTAAATAAGGATAAGAATTCGGCACTATCAATTTGATTATTGAACAGTTTATATGCAAACTTAAGCTCAAATTTTAACTTACGTTGTGTAAGAGTCTCTAGTTCTGTTATAGCAAGTCTTTGATTATAATTATAATTTGATTTATTGAGACCCATTTTAAACATTAAATAATTACAGAACTTTCTTTGTACCCTTTCGAGGCGAGTTTCGTGAATTGCATATGAAGGAAACCATATAAGAATGCCATATTCTAAAATTGGTCTAACCATGCCTCAACAACCGTCTAAAAAACTGAAGGTTTACACTTATTTATACAGGGTGATTCAATTTACAAATTGTCAGTTTTCTCATGATCAATCAAATGAGACACCCTGTATTTTATAACATTTTGTTGAGGTTTTTTTCTTAAGATTTTTTTACAATTACTAATTGTTAAAAATAGAAAAAAAATTAAAGGTCAAAGTTGAACGGTTCTTGAAGGCTATAGACCCAAATTATTGTTCAACTGTACAGAGTGTTTTTGATTTTTAATGCGACGTTGCCACATTATTGCTTTTTTTTATTTTTTATCAGGGAAAGGCTTCTTAAAAAAAAAATGGCTATAGGGGGTTATTTTCGAAATCCATATTACAATATTTTGTTGTGGGATAAATGAAGGTAAGGGATAAATTCGGTCTTAGTGTACAGGGTGTTATATTTAAAAAGATTTGTTTTTTTGTTATAAACAATATTCTTCTCCTCTTAACGTAGATGTAGTTTGACCCAGGACGACAGGTAAAAACAAAGTCAAGGGTACCAGTTGCGTCTTGAATTTTCCTGAATATAATTTTAACCTTAGACCCCTGGAGTCCGCCAGATCCCGTTCGAGCGCCCCCACTCACTCTCCTCTTTGCAGGACTTCGACCGTGCGACGTCGGACCCCGTCTCCCTCAGCCTGCAGGAGTCCAAGAGCGGTTGGCAGAAGCTCGACCTCACCGAGACCGTGCAGCAGTGGCTGTCCGAGTCCAGCAAGGACAAGCTCCAGCTCTTCGTCGACTGCAGCTGCTGCAGCAACTGGCACGTCCACCTCTTCAACACCGAGGTGGACAAGAAGAGCAACCCCAACCGGCCCTTCCTCGTCATCCACACCGACCCCAGCACGGCGAAGCGCGTGCGGCGGCGGGCGCTCGACTGCTCCGAGGACTCGGGCAACCAGTGCTGCAAGCAGCGCTTCTACGTCAGCTTCAAGCAGCTGGGCTGGGACGACTGGGTGATCGCCCCGCAGGGCTACCACGCCAACTACTGCCGGGGCGACTGCGGCCTCCACAGGACGCCCGACACCTACGTCACCTACCACACCCACGTGATCGAGGAGGTCCGAAAGACTCACCACCTGAGCGGGATGCAGCCTTGCTGTGCGCCCCTCAAGTTCTCTAGTATGAGTTTAATCTATTACGGGCCTGATTTGACTATTATCAAACGGGACCTGCCGAAGATGGTGGTCGACGAGTGCGGTTGTCCATGAACTTGTAGTTTAACGTTCATCCAGACTTGTGAAATGTTGTTCAGTTGTTTTCTCGTGTTACCACTCTATTCAATTCATACTTTATTCTATTATGATTGTAGAGAACGAGGTTCTAAGGTAGGTACGAAATTTCGGACTGAGCATGTGCCCAATATTTTACTAAACGAAAGACTTTCTTAACAAATATCTCATTCAAGGGTGGGGGCTGCCGGCCTACCGATGCTTCGCAGATTTTTTTCGTAGGCTTCGTCGTCTCTTTTTTTATTTTTTTTTTGATTTTTTGTTGCAGACGCGTCTCCAATTCGGGCTCCTGGTCGAGCGATTTTCGCCTCTATTGTTCAGGCGAAAATCGCTCTTCTTACTTAGTGGCCAACTCGAATCCAAAATTTTCTTGCGCCGCTCCCTGTTATGTCTTAAGTGCCTTGTGTAGGTAAAGTGTAGCCGCTTCCGCCCCCAGACCGGCACGTCCCCGCCGCCATTGTTAGTAGGAAATTAGTGAATATGTTTACTTAAGCGCATCGTTGGTTGCCTAAATCCAGCATTCAGGCAACCAAAGATACACCGGCGTAATCTAGCTGACTAACTCAATTCGTGATTGACCTTGTAAAAACTATATCACAGCTGAGCCTTGTAAATGATCGCGAAGAGGGCTTAATTATGGTTTATGTGATTGTACTTAATGTTTGTGATTTTTTTACCATTGTAACCTGTGATTTTTTGCGTTTTTTATTTATTTACGTTGTGGGATTTAAATTATGATTCACTGCCGCCTCCTTTCGAATGTAAATTGTAAGCATTGAATGACAATAAGATACTAAAACTACTCATTAATATAGCAAAGTCGACTTACGCAGTATAACTCTCATTGTAAAGTATATAAATGCTAGTCCACTTATAATACTCATAGGCACTATGGTTGGTCCCGGCGGCGGACCGAGCCGCAGCGGTCGGTTCCGTCCGCCGGCGGGCCCCGGCTTCACTTGGAAACACGGAGCCAGCCAGGCCGCCGCTTCAAATCTTCCACCAGAATTGGGCGTTCTTCCATTAGATTAGAGCGGCTTCGGTCACGGGCAGCTGTCCCAGGTCGACACATATCATTGTAGTGTGTTCTGGCATATTTTGGTCTGACCTGGAGAGCGGGCAGCGGGCGGCGTGGCTGGCCCCCCTGCACTATATCTACGCAAATATACCCAAATTTTGCCTTACTATAAACAAAACGTTATAAATACCTATTCTAATCAGGAAATAGTTGGGGCGCGGCTGGGGCGCCGACGGCGGCCCGGCCGCACACCGACGTGTTTCGGTATTTTACGACCAGGATATTTTACGATGATCGTGGAAATTTACTGTATGGTCGTTGATATGAATAAATTAGCTTTTGCAACCTACATAATAATTTGATAATAATTAGCTCATTTAGTGATAGACAAACAACGCAATTTTATTAAAAAGAAAAATCGACAAATGTTCCTGAATTTAAAATGTAATTACTCGAATAAAAAAATTTGAAAAATTGGAGTTTCATCGCTTACCCAATGTTCCTATCGATCTTCAGAGTTGGCAGGTAAGTGGGCATTTTTCTTAATAAAACACGAATTTACACTTTGCTAATCACTTTCTCGTATTAACTTGCTCGTCGAAAACAATTTCCAAATACTGAAGAAAAAAAATGGGAAAACACGTAGATTAATTTTAGAAAAAAAAAAACAAAAAATCGGATTCTAGTCAAAGTAAAAAGCATAAATTACTAGATTTCAAGTCTATACCCTGTTCAAATCTGTCTCAGTAAAAAGTATAAAGTAAAAACCGGCGGCGTAAATAAAATGGCCTCTCAGCAACAATACGCTTTAGCTTCAAGTGTTTGATTATACATCGGAAGAATGTCACGTTGAAATTTGTTTAATTTGACTGAGGACTAAAATTATTAATTAAGCCACAAGACGTGCGTATTCTCATCTTTTCGAGAAAATGGAGTGTCCCATTTTCTAATTTGGGCATAGTGGCTTATATCCATGTCATTAAACTGTGTTAATTTATTTATGAACATTTGGCCACTTCGGAAAAAAAGTATTTTATTGCATAACATTTAAATTATTTTAAAAGAGAATTCTTTGAAACGACGATATCAAGTTACCCAAATAGTGGTCAGCGTTTAACCATTTAGACGATCAAAAATGCTCTAAATTTTTGCAATCAGTACATCGAAATCCCAACATTTTTGGCAACTTTTTCAAAAGCAAAATTTTTCCATGCCTCCCTATGAAAATTTCGGTCAATTTTTGGCCATTTTCGAAACTAAAGACATTTTCTTATAGATGTCGGACTACAAATGTCCGTTTCGGGTTCATTTTTCGATATCTACCATGTTTCCAGAAATATTGCAATTTTTGAATTTAAAAAAAGTGATTTCCAAACCGACTATTACTAAAATCTTGCATAGCGACCATATTCAAGCTGAATTTTTTAAATCAGCATGTCGAAATCTATGTCTCAGAATTTTTTTGACAAACTTTTCAAAAAAAACATTTTTCAATACCGTGAAATCCTACGAAAATTTCGGCTGATTTTTAACAATTTTAGAAAGACATTTGTATTTTATATTTCGACCTCCAGAGGTTAGTTTCGCCCTCACTTTTTCCATAATCTATACCATTTTTCCAGAATCGCCCACTGAAATATTGCAATTCTTTGTTACGGACCTCCCATTTTTATTAAAAATATGTTACAATATAATCAATTAATGTTAAATCAATGTAAATCGAGTTCACAAGTTTCCACTGTTTGCATCTAGTATTTGTATTCAATGACTGTATTTGTATTTGATAGCTGTAGTTCTCCGTAACTCATGTGACTGTTATCAGAGATCAAGTATTGTACTTTCTTTGTTTTCAAGACATATAAATTGGTGATCAGTGTGAAGACATTCAGAATATAAATAATTAAAAGTTAATTACTGTCGGTGCTGTTTGGTACGCCTGATCTTTGCGATCATAACTTGTCGACTCGTTCCTGAATAAAAGTAGTATTGGTGAAGAAGCTGTCTTAATTACTAAATTTTCCCTACGCGAATAAAAGTAACGTGGTGAATAAAAGTGTCTTCTAACAAATTGGAAGAACCCTTTGTTGTGACCGAGGTCTACAACATCTTTACATCAAAAAAAAATATATTTACCAACCGAATATTTCTAAATTCTCTCACTGCAGAACAAAATAGTCTAGCACAATGGGAAGTTAAAAACATACTTTATTTGGACGAAAGAGATCACTTGTTGGAGAAAATTTACTAAAGACAATTTTTTGGCAACTTTTTCAATACCAACCCTTTGAAAATATCTGCCAATTTTCGAACATTTTCGAAACTTAACTTTCATATAAATAGATTTCGACTTCCAGAAGTTAATTTCGACCTTATTTCCTCGATTACTCCTATCATTTTTACAGAATCGAAATGGCTCATTGATATATTGCAATTTTTTGGATTTGTAAAAAATTAATTTTCAAAGCAAATATTTCTAAATCGTCCTCCGGGGCCTTAAACATCTGAGACTTTTGCAATTAGCACTCAAAAACTACGTCCCAGAATTTTTTGGCAACTTTTTCAAAAGCAAAATTTTTTAATAACGTTCCCTGAAAATTTCGGTCAAGTTCGATAAGTTCCCCATTTTTCCAGAAATCTTACGATATTCAAACTGAACATTCTCAAAGTCGCTCAATGCAGAACAAAATACCAGGACAATGGGAAAACATTCCAAAAATGAAAATAAAATTAAAACGAATTTAAAAAAAAGACACATTTATTAAGAGAATTTCGAAGATTTGTTTCCAAAAAAACAAAAAATCGGGTTCTAGTCAAAGTAAAAGGTATAAATAACCATGTTTCAATCCATCTTACTCAAATTTGTTTCCGTAAAAAATGACACCCCCCTAGCCCTTTCGTCGTGAAGGCGCAAATTGCACAAGTATGGTCAAAGTAAAAAATGGGAAAATGGCCTCTCAGCAATAACAAGCTTTAGCTTGAAGTGTTTGTTTATACATCGGAAGAATGTCACGTGGAAATTTGTTTAATTTGAATGAGTTTGTCGCCACAAAACAGAGGACTAAAACTAAACTAGCGGCCATGAACATGCTAAATTTTTAGAATCAGAACATTTTTCAATTTGAAAATTTCGGCCAATTTTCGACCATTTTCGAAAGTTAACTACAGACATTTTTGTATAGATTTTGACATCCAGAAGTTCGTGTTGGTCTTATTTCTTCGAAAACTCTTACCATTTTTCCACAATGATCTACTGAAATATCGACGTTTTTGGATTTTGAAATAAATTGATTTTCAAACCGAATATTTCTAAAATCTTGCTCCGGGACCATAAGTATCCGAAACTTTGCAATCAGCAAGTCGAAATCTATATCCCAAATTTTTTTGGGAATTTTTTGGCAACTTTTTCGAAAGCAAAATTTTTAAAATTTCGGTCAATTTTTTACCATTTTCGAAACTAAAGCATTTTCTTATATATTTCTACTTACTTAAGTTCGTTCAGCCTTCATTTCTTAGACTACTGGCATCATTTTTCCATTTTTTTGGATTCCAAAAAAAAAAAGATTTTCAAACCGAATATTCTCAAAATTGTTCACTGCAGAGCAAAATAGTCCAAGTCAATGGGAAAACATTCCTCTTCATGTAACTAGGAAAAAAAAAAGCAAAAAAAAAAACGAAAGAGTGTAAAAACGGACTTTATTTGAGTGGAACCAGAGTACCAGATCGGAGAGAAAAATGGGAAATACACTTCAACTAACTTCAAAAAAATAAATAAATAAAATATCCAAAAAAATGCCTATTGCATCGAAGACGTTTTTGCTCTAAACCTCCAAATAATCGAGAAAACTGGGAAAATAATTTTCAAAAATAGACTCGATTCCAGTGCAAACCAATTTTTCCTAGATTACGAATTTGAGGTTATCCTTAATATAGTTCTTAAATTAATAGTTGAGAAAATTGGGAAAAAATTTCCACAAAAAATGAGTATTCAAATGGAAAAAACATCGCACCAGCTTACAGAAAAGTCTGCAGAGCTAGCAGTTTTTTAAATAAAAAAAAATTGATTTTCAAACCGAATATTTCTAAAATCTTGCCGCAGGACCATAATTAATAATAATTTTTGCAATGAGCACGTGGAAATCTACATTCCAGAATTTTTGGTTATTTACTAGTACCACAATTCTGAATTTCCAAAAATATGTTATAATTTAACTAATCGTCTCTATTGGAATCGCTTCAGAGCAAAATCTTGTGCAGAAGTTTTCGTAGATTACGAATCTAAGACTTTTTTTTGTTATACTTCGTTAAATAGTCGACAAAAGTGAGAACAAAATTACAAAAAACGAAGTTGCGCTATTCAAATAAAAATTCAATTTTAGGTGTTTTTTATTTAATCATTAATAAATAAAATACTTCATTCTATAATTCTAGTAAAGCTTTTTTTTATTTATTTATTTTGCATACCTCATATAAGGTTTACTTTGCAAAATTTTAAATGACGCCATCGAGTTTTTTAAAGCTATGAGCGAAATAAGTTTTAAATTTGAGTAAATATACCAACAGCTCATCACAAAGTGGTTGCCCTGGAACTCGCAAAATCAGAAATTGGGATCGTAGAACTCAAGAAAAAAAAAATTCCACAGCTGATGCAGTTATAGTCCAGTCACTTTAGCATAAAAAAGGGACTTTCTCGTCATATTGTCTGTCAAGTTTCAAGCCTGCAATTTTTGATTTGAAATTTGAATTTATATTTTGGAAAATTTTAGAGAATGTTACTTGAAATTTGTGATACAGTTATGACTTTCAGTAAATTCTGTTTAAGTATTAAGAGTAGTTAGAAAATTTCGTTCCAGCATTGCTACGCCGCCCTCTTGAATGACGAATGCAGATCTTCAGTCCATCTACGCTGCTCAATGGAAGGCGACGACACTGTATTTTTTAATTCCGACGAATAAAATAATAAAAACCTAATTCCTTAGTTTTTTTTTAACTTAATCCAAGATCCACGCCTTTCCAGACTCTCACAAATCCAAGATTGAGAACTAACTACCAGAATAGACGCAAACTGGCCTTACTGAACCACCGCTGAAACGTGCCATATTTAAGTCAGCTATTTTATGTACTGGACTGTGTTTTTATGTAACGAATAAAATAAATAAAGAGAAAATGTACATTCAGATGGGTGTTTATTTATTTTTGTGTATTTTGGGACGAAAAGGATAATGTTCTAGAGACCAAACAAGCAATCTAATATTTTCCTGAAGGCGATTTGGATTTAGCTCTACCTTTCAGAATTTTCTATGCATTTTTGACAACTTCACCAAACAGTCAGTTTTTCAATACCAAAATAGCATGAAATTTTTGACTTTTTCTCAAACACTGTTGAAAAAAATTCAATAAAATGTAACAAAATGTCAAAGCTTCGTTTCTTCG